CGTTTGGCACCGCCTGTGTTTGCGCCCCGCGGACCTGTTTCGCCCGGTGTGGACTCTCGCGGACTCTCACGTGCTCCACACAGCGGACCCGGCCCCCGCCTCGCCTGCGCCTCTCGCTTCTTCTTGGTCTTGCTTTCCCTCTTTGGTTCCACTCACACCGTGCTTCCTCCGCCCAGGCCCTTGCCTGTGCTGTCCCTTGCCCGTGAAGCCATCTTCCCTTCCCTGTGCCATCATCTGGAATAGGAAGAAAAGGGCGCCATCGTTAAAACCCTGACGAACACTCAACATGTATCAGGCAGATAAAGGTGGGAGGGGAGCTAGGAAAGGAGACATCCGACAGGAAGACAAGCAGGAGGGTCATCAACAGAATTTGAGAACAGAATTTCAAGATGAAGACCCTGGTCGCCTGTGTCGTGCTGAAGAAAAGTAGAGGAAAGTCTGGACTCATTTCTAGTGAGTTGAGACGGAAAAGAAAAACAGTATGGTTGGGTGCGAAGGGAAGGCGAGAGATTAGCTGTAGTTGAAGGGACGACAAGGTGAAGGGATGGGTTTTTGTTTCATTGTCGGTTTGATATTAAGGTAAGGAAAAACATGTTTAAGGTGAGAGGTGTTTTCGGACCCTTGTAGATGCAAGTGACAGGAAACCCGATTTAAAAGAGGCAGAGCAAAAAGGGCACAGATTGGCTGACGTGACTTGAGAAATCGAGAAGTAGGTCTGGCCTCAAACACAGCTGAGTCCAGGGGTTCAGGCTGTCTGCTAACGTCTTGGTTCCTCTGCATTGCTCAGATCTGCTTTCTTTGGGTAGGCTGCACTCATTCTGCAACCCTTCTGAGGCACTCTTTGCTGTGGCCAGGAAAAGTCCCAAATTGAACCTCACCAGCCTGGCTCAGTTCCTGTGTCCACCCCTAAACAGGAGATGGGGTGTGCTGTTTGATTAGGTGAGAGGTGGGTCAGCTCTGGGCTCAGGTTGCATGGATTGGGAATGGGCCAAAGTGGCTCCCTAGGGAGGAGCAGGATTACAGTGACCAATGGAATGAATGGATGCTGTCCTGTCACAGAGGGAGAGAGGGGATAAAGGAAGAGCAAGGCCCCCCAGGAATGGGGTGGCCTTCGACTTGAGCCTGGACGGGAGCCTGGAGAGTATGGCTGTGGAGGAGACGGCCAACCCTCCTAGTAAGCAGGAGGGGAAGGCTTTGCGGCTTGGGATGGATATGCCAAGTGCCAAACTAGGGATGTGTGAGATGGGGAAGGGACTTACCAGGGTGTCCCCTTCATGTTCTGTAACTGTCTGGTCTCACATGAGGCCAAGACCTGTCCCAGCCTATTTGTGCCGTGTGGAAGTGTCAGCCAGAGGAAAAACATAGACGGGGGGAGTGTGGGGTGGGGAAAAACCCCAGCCAGGAAGGACCTGACCAAGCACCAGGATCGCTCCTGAGGGTATACAGGGGAACAGTGGGATAGAAAGTGAGTGAAGATGAAAGGGTCCAGGCTGGGAAGAGCTTTGAATGCCAAGGCCTTGAATTGGAAGTTCATTCTGAAGCCAGCCATGTTGACCAGGAGAGAGAGAAGGAAGGTGAAAGAGTCTGGTCAGGAGGAGGAATGTTTTGGCTGCATGTACAGCTTGTACTGGAGAGGGGGTTACGTGTGGGTGATTTGAGAGGTGCTGCCACACAGGTCACATTAAGGTGAGCTGCAGTGACGGGGACGAAGGTTTTTCTTTAGGAATCAGCAGGATGTCACGTTTGACTCAGAATAAAGAATTGCTGGAAATCTTGAGGAATCCTACAACCGAGCAGCCTGGAGTGAGTAGCTGATGTGAGGTCGTGGTGCCTCTAAGTAAGAGTACTGAGCAGAAAGCTGTCACCCCGAGTCCTCACCCCACTCTCACCCCTGCCCTCTCTCTGCAGAAGCATTGTACTACACCGATGACACCGCCATGGCCAGAGCCCTTGTGCAGTCCCTGCTGGCCAAGGAGGCCTTTGATGAGGTGGACATGGCTCACAGGTGAGGGGAGGCGCCTGGGGTGAGGAAAGCCAGGCAGCAGTTGCTGTGCCCTGGACAAAGGACTGGTGTCTGCATGCCTGGGCCCCTACCTTGAGCAGAACCGTTTCTTAGGCTGATGCAGCTTCCCAAGCAAAAAGTGACAGCGCTGCTGGGACAGATGCCTTAGGTCCTAAGCCTTCTTTCCTCGATCCAGCCCAGACTTTTCCCATCCCTGGGAGGCATTTTTGAAACCCCAGTTCTGCTCCCCCTGCTCCCAGGTTTGCCCAGGAGTACAAGAAAGACCCTGACAGAGGTTATGGGGCCGGAGTAATCACTGTCTTCAAGAAGCTCCTGAGTCCCAAATGCCACGATGTCTATGAGCCTGCCCGGGCCCAGTTCAACGGAAAGGGCTCCTATGGGAATGGGGGTGCCATGCGGGTAGCAGGCATCCCCCTAGCCTACAGCAATGTCCAGGATGTGCAGAAGGTACTGGGGGGGGTGGGCTCCCAGAATCCCCCACTTGGTCTGCGTGTGTGCACCATGACAGCGGCGGCTCCTCTTCCTAGTTTGCCAGGCTCTCAGCCCAGCTGACCCACGCCTCCTCCCTGGGTTACAACGGTGCCATCCTGCAGGCCCTGGCTGTGCACCTGGCTCTGCAGGGCGAGTCCTCCAGTGAGCACTTCCTTGAGCAGCTCCTGGGCCACATGGAGGAACTAGAAGGGGACGCCCAGGCCGTCCTGGATGCCAGAGAGTGAGTATGGGCTGGAGGCAGACCTGAGTATGCTCATGGTGGGGAGGGGGCTCTGGCGTCACCACAAAGCAGAAGCTGCCTTCTTCCCATTGCATACCTTAAGGAGGGGTGGGAAGAGGAGACACCTTTGCTTGACTGGTTCAAGGCTCTCAGGGTCCCAGAGAATAATATGGTTCACACCTTTCACGGTATCTGTACCTGTGTGGGAGCCTGGCACATCCCTGCTTCCTCTTACATGAGATCTTTTCCCTGCCCACTGGCTCCACTCTGCTGCTCTGACCTCCCTGAAATCTTCCCCGAACCTACAGGTTGGGTATGGAAGAGCGTCCATACTCCTGCCGCCTGAAGAAGGTCGGAGAGCTCCTAGACCAGGACTCGGTGACTCGAGAAGAAGTGGTGTCTGAGCTAGGTGGGTGGGTTTATTCTCCCACACCCATTATCCTTTGGAGCCAGCCTTAGGCTCAGTAGAGAGGGGGGCATGGACACAAGCCCGCTGTCTGTCAGGTTAGACCTGGCATACTGTGACAGTCAGAGCCACTTTCTATAGTGTCCCTGGCAGAGTTGTGAGCACAGCACCTTGCTTTGGAACTGTAACACTAGACCATGTCCCCAGCAATCACAGCTGGTTGCCAGTTTTTACAGCTAGTGTGATTACAGATGTCTGGTCACCTAGCACTTTTACTGTGTTCTAGGCACTGCGTAGCACACCTCACAGACATGACCTTACATCTTCCTCACAAAAGGCCTGGGAAAGTGACTAACATTGCTCAGTCTCTACACTGAGGAATCAAAACCAAGGACAGGAACTTTCCCAGGCATGAGGCAGCCCTGGGGGTGGCAGGATTTCAACCCAGGTAGTTTATCTTCATAGCCTGTGATCTTAATCACAGCCCTGCTTGAAGCTGAGACTGTTGACTTGTGGCAAGTACAGGAAGCCCAGGGAGAGGGGGTCAGTTTCCTGTGATCTGGCTTCCTCACAGGGAATGGCATTGCTGCCTTTGAGTCTGTGCCCACCGCTATCTACTGCTTCCTGCGCTGCATGGAGCCTGACCCCGAGATCCCCTCTGCCTTCAACAGTCTCCAAAGGACTCTCATCTATTCAGTCTCGCTTGGCGGGGACACAGACACCATTGCCACCATGGCTGGGGCCATTGCTGGCGCTTACTATGGGATGGATCAGGTGCCAGAGAGCTGGCAGCAAAGCTGTGAGGGCTATGAGGAGACGGACGTCCTGGCCCAGAACCTGCACCGAGTCTTCCAGAAGAATCTGTGAGGGCCACAGCTGCTGGGGCTCTGCCCTGTCCAGCAGGACTAATCACAGCTCAGAGGTCCCCCGAGCTGGCTCCCCTGCCTGTCTTCCTGCAGTGCAGGGGCTGGGATGTGCACCCTTGGTGCTGGGGCTCTGGTTTGTTCTAGAGCTGTAGAACACCCTTGGGGTCCTCAGTGGGGTCCAGGACAGATTTTATTTAGTGGGATGCTTACATTATTTTCCTTTTTTATCTAGAATATGGGATTTGGGGAGGTGGAAATGACCTGCAGTAGCATCATTTCTTTCTGCTATGTCTTAACCAGTTTGCCTGACAGTCTGTCCACGACTGGGCAGGCAGTTCTGTGACCAAGGGACAGGCACCTGCCTACAGCTGTTGCAGGCCCACAGCTGGCCCTTTGTTATCCTGGGGCTCATTAACAGCTTCCAGTGGAAGTCACAGCAATAAACAAACTTTGGTAAATCAGCAGACTCTTAATTCTCCCCTGGCAGCCCAACCTTATGCTTAATGTACCCCTCTGTCTTCTAGGAGATGGGGCCCTGTGTGTAGACAAAGGCTTCCAGTTCTTCCAGCCAGCCACAGGATCAGCCAGAAAGGGTAAAACAGGCGTACCCTGGTGGCTTTTCGTGTTGAAGATCACTCTGTGGCCCAGGCAGCTAGACCAAATGCAGGCAGTGACCGGCCAACTTTTCCTCCTCTTAGATCCTGACCTACCCAGACAGGATCCCAGACCAGCAGAGCCTGGAATAGGAACCCTGTAGAGACTGCAGAGGACATCTGTCACCAGGCTGCCACACTTTAGGTGCTGGGTGGACTGAGTGTTACGTGTCTCCCCCTATGTCTTGGGGCCCCACCAAGACCTGGCTTCTCAAGATCTTGTTTTGCCCAGCATGTGTTTTGTTTTTTGGGGGGAGTACTGGGGATTGAACTCAGGTCCTTGCGCTTGCGAGGCAGGCAGTGGAACCACTGAGGTAAATCCCTAGCCCCCGTTTTGGTTTGGTTTGGTTTGGTTTGGTTTGGTTTTGTGGTGGTTTCTGTTTTCAGGACAGGGTCTCATGATGTAGCCCAGGCTGGTCTTGAGCTCACAGTGAGTAAGATCCTGTCTCAGCCTCCCAAGTGCTGGGGTTACAGGCATGTGCCACCATGCCTAGCTCAGCATCCATTTTGTTTCTCCTTTTTTCTTTTTTCTTTTTTCTTTTTTTTTTTTTTTACTGGAGATCAAACTTGGAACCTCACACTTGTGAGGCAGGCGGTGGAACCACTGAGCTAAATCCTCAGCCCTTCAGCATCCATTATGAATAAAGGACAATTGAAGACAACTCCCTCAAGCTGGGGATATTCTGTGAGCATCCTTCCACTGGGCAGAGGGACGAGTGCGCACCTCTCTGGTAGGCCTGAGGTCTCAGGACAGCCGGTCAGGCCTGCTTTCATCCAAGGTAAGAGTTGTGTCAGGCCGGGGTGAATCGCAGGACTTCTCAGGTGTGGATTCTTTCAGGTCCACAGAGCCAGGGACAGGAACGTAACACTGCTGAACCTGGAGGACTGTGAACAGGTGCTGTGTGCCCAGGTCAGTGCCTTCCAGCGTTTTCAAGGTTGGCCCTGACACTAGTTCTGCCCTGAGCAGCAAATATTCACGATACAATTTCATTTATAATTTGTGTCAGATGTTGAAACTCGGCCCTAGCGATCCTGAGCCAGTTGTCATGCTCCACTACCCCTGAGAGCTTGCAGGAATGTTCCAGTGAAGTTCGATCCATCTCTCCCAGCTCCAGCCACTGCCCTGCCCTCCTCCAGTTTCTTAGAATGTCTCTTGGCGTTTGTCTGGTGCAGAGTCTTAGCAGCAAGAGCATCAGCATTTCTGAGGTGGTGACAGAAGCCTAGGTCAGAGCTGCCGAGGAGTACCCTGCTTGAGATACAGGAGCCCGGAGAAGTACCCAGTGCCTTGTGAGACACTGCTGCACCATGCCAATTTCAGCACAGCACTGTTTATATGACAGGTTTTATTGATGTTGTGTCAATACTGTTGTTTTTCTTTTCAAAATGGAGGTTCCCCCCCACTTTTTTTTTTTTTGGTCTCCCCAGTGCATTTTTCCTGATCCCGTGACACAGGGCACATGTAAGTAGAGACCTAAACTTTCTATAGGTCTCTATAGAAATGGAATTACTCATGGGAAACATTTAAACCTTAATGGTTTAAAAAAATAAAATACAAAAATGCACAAGGTAATGTATTCTTCAGTTAAAACCTGACACTTATCAAACGAAGTCAGGTACTGTACCTCAGATCTCATAAACACTTCAGAAGCATCAACCACCCTTCTCTAGAGGCTTCAGGAGTGAAATCTGGCAGCAGCTCAGCTCTGACACTGCTTTTGGGTTCCCTTTGGGTCCATTTGGTTCCCTGCGCTCCCCCTGGGAGCCGATTCATTTCTGCCAATCAGCACCAATCCTTATGGAGTCAGATTATAGTGGCTTTCACCCAGAGGTGGTGGCAGCTGAGCAAAGAAAGGAACCCACCAAGCCTGCTGAGACTCCTTAGTTGGCTCCCTTGGGTACCAGGGAGCAAGAAATACACCATGAACTAGTCAGAACCTTCTGTCACTTGGGCAGACTCAGCTTTGCATTCCTCCCTTTAAAAGCTAAAGTAGCCTGCTTTGAAGAAGTGGGCAGGGCAGAGGGCTGTCAAGGAGCTGGGGAAAGCACAGCTTATCAAATCAGAAGTCGCCAGTCTTCCCCTTTTAACACAGTCTGGCTTTGGCCAGAGTCCAAGCAGTGCTCACACTTGGTGCAGGGAGGTGGTTGGCTTGGTGAGGGGTAAGTGAAGCCTCAAATGGTGGGGCGGGTCGGTGACCATTCTCCCACAGGCCACTGTCCACCATCACAGCTTACGCTGAGGGCTGAAGGGCCAGGTGGGGCTGTTCCTGCAGAGGCGACCTGACATTCCCTGGAAGAATGGCAGGCACATCCAGAGGCAGCCATTGCAGGACTGCAACACCCTTCCCCTCAGAGCGTCTGCCTCCCGGGCCCTAATCCTGCTTAGATCAGGAAATTGGAAGCAGAGGAAGCCCCCACCAATTAACCCCTCTAGTAGAAACACATACCCACCATGCGGTTCTTATTAAGGAAAAGCAAGTGGGAGCTTCATCCCCAGGCCTGGGCGGCCATTGTTCAGGGGACTGAGTGAGAGATGTTCTGCCTTGGAGCACTTGGGTTGGGGATGGCAAGGATCCTCTTACAAATCCCACATGAGGAAACTAGTCCACGCCCAGCAGGTGAAGGGGAGGCGAAGGCGTGCTCATGCCTGCTGCCTGCCCTCAGTCCTGCCTGGTGCCACCCTGCATGCACACTTCCAAACGCATCAGGCACATGGCGGTCCCCAAGGGGCCCGTGCATTCTTCTCATGCTAAACAAAGCTGGACGGCCAGGGATTTACCTCAGCGGTTCCGTCACCTGCCTCACAAGCGCAAAGTCCCTAGTTCCATCCCTGGTACCAAATAAAAAAATAAAGCTGGGAGATGGGCTGTTGTCCTGCCCCAGACCCACGCTCCTACCCTTCGCAAGTCACCTTTCCCCGTGACTGCTGCTGAAATGGAGAAAAGGTGTTGCCCCTTCCCAGAAGCCTGCAGAGAGGCCATGCAACTGTCCTGCTGTGGACAGGCCCATGCAGCAGCAGCAGCACCCTGGGTTTGGATTCCCACTGACCACCTCAAGGGTCACGCTTTTTCCCCTTTCCCCTGAAGAAGACCTACTGTCAAATGCAGGGTGTCCCCAAGGAAGTGGAAGAGCCTCACTCCTGGAGCAGGTGCCCTCCAAGGTCCAGCAGGCAAACTGATGAGGGAGCCCCACCCCTCCTGTCTGTCAGGGACCAGCAGCATCCAGGACTCGTGGGGGCTGGGCAAGCATCCCAGGGTCCTGCAGGACAGAGATGGGTGCAGCCCCGAAACTGCTCAGACATCTCGATGAGAGGAACTCAGGTCAGCCCCTTCCAGAAAATCTCAGCCACACGTAGGGGCCAAGGCCACCGCCAACTGTTCAGCTTTTGGTCTTTTTCTTTAAATGGAGGTCTTTGTAACTGAAAAGGTTGCTCTACCACTAAAGAGGAGGCCAGGGCAGTAGGGGCTGCCCACAGGTTATGTTGGGCAGAGCAAGAATCCTGAAAAGGAGGAGTGGATGTACTCGGTGGAGTAGAGTCCGTTGGCCTGGTCTGAAGGCATCTGCACCCAGACCTGGTCATTGGGCCGCAGCTGGAGCACAGCGCCCCCAGATGCTTGGTCCAGGTAGCCCTTCTTGTACTCATCGTAAGTGTAGGTAGCTGGCACGTTGTTCTTGTACAGGGCCACCCACACATTGGTGCCCTTGACGTGCACGTGGTAAGCGAAGTAGTAGACACCACCCACGGGGCAGGTGAAGATGCCGGTGGCTGGGTTGTAGCCGCTGTGGCCATTGTAGAGAGTCCGGTCAAACCTCACAGGCATCCCCGAGGCAGGGAAGGGCGAAGTGAGCACTGCGGTGAAGGCTGGCGTGCCATGGGCTGAGAGGTCACCCAGCCCGAACTGTGGCTTGCCCCCCTTGCCCAGCACAGCACCCTCCACACCACCGTTGGGCAGATGCAGGCCTGCAATGCCAGTCTCATCAAAGGCCCCTGGGGCACCAGGGGGGCCAGGAGGCCCAGGAGGCCCAGGAGGGCCTGTGAGTCCTGGGGAGCCAGGGACACCGGGGGGCCCTGTGGGCCCAGCAGAACCAGGCTCCCCCATTTTCCCCTCCCCAGGGGGCCCTGGCAGGCCTGGTTCACCCTTTAGGCCTGGAAGACCCTGGGGCCCTATAGGGCCAGCTGGACCCTGGAGTCCTGGGATTCCTGAGGGGCCCCTCAGGCCAGGCTGCCCAGGGAGCCCCAAGTCACCCTTCTGCCCAAGGGCTCCTGCTGCCCCTGGCCCCCCAGGGCGACCTGTGAAACCTGGCTCACCCTTGGGCCCAGCTGGTCCAGGGGGTCCATGGGAGCCAGGAAGTCCCCTCTCACCTGGAAGCCCAGGTTTTCCAGCCAGGCCACTGGGTCCCTGGTCACCCCGAATGCCAGGTACTCCTGGGTGTCCTTCGGGACCTGCCTCCCCCTTTGGCCCAGGAGGTCCACGTCTGCCAGGAAGCCCTGCAGACCCAGGAGGTCCCGGGGGGCCCCCAAGACCCTGTGGACCCTGCCCTCCTGGTTCCCCATCCTCCCCTGGCTCACCCCTGTCCCCCAACAGCCCTGGGATCCCAGCAGGGCCCCTGTCCCCCTTGGGCCCTGGCAGTCCTGGCATCCCATAACCAGTGGGACCTATCAGTCCTGGGGGACCCCGGACCCCCGGCTCCCCTCTGGCCCCTGCAGGGCCTTGGGACCCAGGCACCCCCGCTGCTCCTGGCACACCCACACCATTTACCCCAGGGGGACCTTTTGGACCCACAGCTCCTGGCTCCCCCCTCAGGCCTGGAATTCCAGGAGGCCCAGACTCCCCTTTGTCTCCAGGGGCCCCAGGCAGCCCATCTGATCCTGGCTGGCCCAAACCAGCTGGGCCCGGGAGGCCAGGGGGTCCAGGAGCCCCAACCTGCCCAGGAGCCCCAGGCAGCCCTGGCTGGCCGACTCCATCATCCCCCTTGACACCTCGATCTCCTGGGGGTCCAGGTTCCCCTTGGGGACCTGGTTCCCCCCGGAATCCTGGGGGTCCCGGTACCCCCTGGGGACCTGGTTTTCCAGGAACGGTAATGCCCGAGGAGCCAGGAAGGCCAGGGGGCCCTGGGGGTCCCCGGAGGCCCTGGTCTCCTCGTATCCCTGGCTCTCCCCGAAGCCCAGGCTGCCCTGGTGGTCCAACCTTGCCAGGCAGCCCAGGGGGACCAGCCTTGCCAGTGCGAGAGAAGCCAGGGGGGCCAGCAGGGCCAGGCTGTCCATGGAGCCCTGGCTTTCCAGTTCCTGGTTTTCCTGGGAAGCCAGGAGGGCCGGGGGGGCCCCGAGGCCCAGGCTTCCCAGGGGGACCTGGCTCTCCTTTGAGGTCCACTGGCAGCAGAGGTAGAGGCATTTCTGTGAGAGAAGAGAGAGAGAAGGGGGCAGTCAGGGGTGACCCCATCTACCCCAGCAGTATGTGCTACACTGGGGTGATGCAAGGCCCTCTCTGCTCATTATGACCACTCCCGACTCCCCTGTCTGCACACATCTGCTGTTACAGGAGCTGTCAGGGGGCCACAGGGTATTGCACCAGGGCTCGGCCTTCCTTCCCCAGGATTTAAGACAACTTTCATCCCTGCATGACACTAGGTGGCACCAGCAGCCTGCGTAAAGCCAGCTAGAGCAGGACTGCTCCCCCCACCCGCCCCACTTCTCCACAACCATCCCACTCATCCCCACCTGAGCACCACCTGTACCCTCCAGCTGCAGCTGGGTTCTAGGCCATCCGAGGCTGAGGCCCTGGACAGCCTCTGGAAGAACACTGGACATGGGAAATCTTCGGTGGAGACTGGGGCGGCAGTGAGGGCCTGGGAGGGTCTGGCAGAGTCAAGAGTTTGGGGGTTGGTAGCTGTTTGAGACACTATGGGGCAAGGTCTCACCCAGGTACTGGCCCTTGCCCTCGCGGAAGGGTGGTCCCACAGGTCCTTTCTGCATAGGCTGCACGTACTTCACTGGGGCATAGCCTGCTGCCCCCACAGCCCCACCGCCAGAGGACACCCGTGGCCCACACCCCAGCAGCAGCAGCAGCAGCAGCAGCAGTGTGGGCAGGGGCATCAGAGCCCCCTGCATGGCGTTCCCGGTGTGCTGCAAGGAGAAAGGAAAAGAGTCAGCAAGCAGCCTCTGGGTGGTTGGGCAGCAGCCCCAACGGCTCCCATAAAGTTCAGGCTTTAGATATTACTCATAAGCAACTCCCAGAGTCACAGGGGTCTGCAGAGGCTTCCTCCCAAACTCGTCCCAAGCCTTCATTGGTTCACAGATCAGGCCACTGCAGCCCGGCACGCCTTCTAGAGCACTAGTCCGGCCTCAAGGCAACTCCCTGCTAAAAACCTTTGATGATAACCCTTGCTACCATTTGCCAGGCCCTGAGGTGAGCTCTTCAGAGATCTGAACTCCATCCTCGAAATACTTGCACAAGTTATTACTGTCACCTTCACTTCTAGGTGATAAAACCAATCTCAAGTCCCTAGGAAAGACGTGGGACTCGTTCCATGTGCCTCCATGTCATACTGTGCCTTCCAGGCTCCTCACTGCCTTCAGGATAAGGCCGTGGTCTTTAGCACAGCAGCCAAAGCTTGTTTTTTTTTTTTTTTTT